CCAGAATTAAAAGAGCACAACAATCATGATTGTTATATTTGTAGTCCTACTCTAAGCCTAGAAACATCATCATCAAATCCATCATCTTTAAATACTGTTGATTCTCAAACTCATAATAAAAAATAATAATTTATGAGGAGGAACTAAAAAAAGGAGTATTGCTTGAAAGTATTTCTTTAAATGAAACCTCACCAGAAGCTGAAGATACTCAAAATCTTAATGATGAATCTAACTCATCACAGCAAGGATTACTTGCTCTCACCACTCCTCTCATCACTTTCAATGCCTGGTTACTAGGTATTGGAGAAAAATATCATCAATTCCATTGCATCTAGCCTCCTCATCATGATATGTTTTCAGTATTTATCAGATTTGTGATGTATTTCACAAATCCTGTGGACATCACATATTGAAAATTTATGTGACCATCCCATACCAGGGATGACCATCCTGTCTTCTTGCTTTACATGACAATAGACATTGGGTGAGCAATAGGTTTTGTCAGATATCAGCTGAGGGAACCCTTTGGAACATGATTCTCCATTTGAGAGTTACAATGGTGTAATCTGATACTTTATGACTAAATTGTACAATGTTTCCCATGATGGAATGTCTGCATGTGGATCATTCCATGGTTTTGTCATGTTTGAAAAAATGTCCTAATTCGTCATCTCAGGGTCCTTCCACAACTTGTTCCAGCATATTTCAGTAGTGCAGGTAGATGTGCAATGGGTGATTGCTTAGCATGATGTTGCCATTTCATGCAAGTGGGCCCATTTGTTTTTGGCCATTATCAAGGTATTTCTTTTTGAAAAGGGTCACAGTTCTCAAATTCGAAGGCAAGATTGTAGTTTTTGACTCATCCAGGATTTTGTGGCTGCCATAAGAGCTTCTAACAATCAAGTTGGTTCAGTTTGGATGTTTCTCACAGTTCACATTTCTGGTGGCTAGTATCTGATTCTGATTTTGAAAATTTCTTCTTTTCTCAAACATCAATCCAGCTAGCTATCTATTGAAGATGGTATTTTTAATGTACTTATAGTGCCCCTTCCATTGGAGTAAACATCAAAGCTTCCAATTAGGGTTTCTATATATGACTGGGAATTTGTCATTGTTTGATTCAACAAAACCTGTACATAGTTTGCGTATTTGTTGTGTATTTTTAGAGGAAAGAATCATTTGGGACAAGACCATTAATAGTTGTTGGCAGACTCAATACCAAAAAAATTGTAAGCTTTATAAGTTTCATTCAAGTTTATATATGAAACTTTTTCTTTTATTAGTTTGACAGAACAAATCTATAACATCAAAAAATTAATTACTGCAGCTACTAAATCTAACACTCTAATCACATTACTACTTATATTATACAAACTAATCTCACATTTGAGCAATAATCATATTGCACAGAATTTCACAGTAATGAAATGAAAGTTGGCTCACTATATTGTAGTAAACATAAGAATGAAGATAGTGTTGGGCCTAATATAACTTGTTGCATCAGGAAAACAAAGCAATGCAATAAATTAAAGGTCTTTCATCCATTTTTATTATTCTATATAAAGATTGTAAAAACAATTGATATATATAATGGATAAGTGTTGAGGATTACAACTATATAAAAATATTAATTTATCATGGAACCCAAGAATTTTAGCACAATTAAAAGTATTTTAAAAAACAGATGAGAAAATAGCACATTGTTATTATATTTTTAAATTAGCTAACACTCGGGAAAGAGAAAATTATTTGTGAAATTTAACAAGAACAAAAAATAATATAGGATAAAATTTTTAGAAATATAATAAATAAATAATACTGAATACTATCAATCAACTTTTCCCTCTTTCTTTTGGACATGTGTGTTTTAAGACATGGTTCTTATATCCTTATTCTGCATTATTTTCACAATCCTCACTTTTAAGGTCACAAATGACTTTTAGTTTCTGCCTCTCTTATCTATTTGCTCTTTAATGAAACGATGGTTCCAATTCAAATCAAGATAATCTAGAAAAACCAATGTTGTATGTAATTTTGATTCTTATATTAAATTTATATATTATTTAATACATAGTTTGCGTATTTGTTGTGTATTTTTAGAGGAAAGAATCATTTGGGACAAGACCATTAATAGTTGTTGGCAGACTCAATACCAAAAAAATTGTAAGCTTTATAAGTTTCATTCAAGTTTATATATGAAACTTTTTCTTTTATTAGTTTGACAGAACAAATCTATAACATCAAAAAATTAATTACTGCAGCTACTAAATCTAACACTCTAATCACATTACTACTTATATTATACAAACTAATCTCACATTTGAGCAATAATCATATTGCACAGAATTTCACAGTAATGAAATGAAAGTTGGCTCACTATATTGTAGTAAACATAAGAATGAAGATAGTGTTGGGCCTAATATAACTTGTTGCATCAGGAAAACAAAGCAATGCAATAAATTAAAGGTCTTTCATCCATTTTTATTATTCTATATAAAGATTGTAAAAACAATTGATATATATAATGGATAAGTGTTGAGGATTACAACTATATAAAAATATTAATTTATCATGGAACCCAAGAATTTTAGCACAATTAAAAGTATTTTAAAAAACAGATGAGAAAATAGCACATTGTTATTATATTTTTAAATTAGCTAACACTCGGGAAAGAGAAAATTATTTGTGAAATTTAACAAGAACAAAAAATAATATAGGATAAAATTTTTAGAAATATAATAAATAAATAATACTGAATACTATCAATCAACTTTTCCCTCTTTCTTTTGGACATGTGTGTTTTAAGACATGGTTCTTATATCCTTATTCTGCATTATTTTCACAATCCTCACTTTTAAGGTCACAAATGACTTTTAGTTTCTGCCTCTCTTATCTATTTGCTCTTTAATGAAACGATGGTTCCAATTCAAATCAAGATAATCTAGAAAAACCAATGTTGTATGTAATTTTGATTCTTATATTAAATTTATATATTATTTAATTATTTATTTTGTAAACCACTTTTTGTGAAAAATAATGATATTAATATTAAGTCTTGATAACTTTTAAAAACTCATTATATTATTTTTTATTATTTGAACCAAATAAATAATAATTAACAATTTATTTTTTTTCGCCTTGTAATGTAACTACTACTCTTCTACCTGATGCATAATTTCTATGTTCCATTAAATAAATTCTAGAAGAAACATTCATTAATAATTATCAGATAATAATAACATATATATAAAAAGACACATTTATTGATATGTTACCCTTGCCAAGTGCCCAAATTAAATTTGCCATTTGTTACTGGTATATTTAAAGATGCTCCAACAATTGCATTTTTTACATGAGCAGGCTAAATAAAATCATAAAGAGAAATGTTGAAATGTTAATTCATCATCACCCATCATCGTCATAATCATCATCATTATTGTTATTAAATTGTGTTTTAGTCACCATATCATCGGATCCTTCATCAGTATGAATATAATTCCAATTTTCGGGCACAATTTTATTCAAAGCCATTTCCATATCTTTTCTAACATCGGGGTCTGCATTTTCATTTAAGCATAATGATGCTGAAGTGTGTTGTACTATATAACATTAACATTTAATTGATTAATAAACGATCAAGTTTCTTCTGTTCATCAAAATCAATAAATCAATTGACATTACAAAAAATATTTGCCATTCCAATTTTATAATTCCTAATTTCAGACACCTGTCTTTCTATCTCACTAGTGACTAAGTGACAACCACGACTTTTTGATTTCAAAACAATAGTTGCTTGATACCAAGACATTATATAGGCTTTGAGAATGATCAACAATTATTAATATTAATATTAATGTATTAATTGTTAAATATTGATCCCTGAAATTATTTAACACTGCTTTTTTCCTTACTTAGGATAGATTGTATGGTTTTGGTTTTGATCTACTATTTTTTTAACACTTATAAAAGATTACTCAAATCCCGTAACACTGCTTTTTTCCTTACTTGGGATGGATTGTATGATTTTTAGTTTTGATCTACTATTTTTTTTTTTTTGTAATAAATAACAAGCTCAAAACCGAGAACGCAATGCGAGCTTTGCTTTTTTATGCATTACATGACCGCTTTTCCGTGCTAAGTGAGAACAAAAATTGCAACTTCTTCGTCGCAAAGAGCAAAAAAAAAAAAGACATCACTCCGGTCAAGACAATAGTCTATTTTATTAAATCCAAAACATATAAATAGGACAGCCGTCCCATTTTTTTTTTCGTTTTTTTTTCGTATAAAAATTCCCTCGGGCCATTTCAGTGCACAGAACTCAACCTTCTACATTCAGCCACTACGTCCCAAGCGATCAAGATAAAATTCAAGTTTACGAATGCGCACACCATGAAATCATTTGTCGTTATACAACGTTATTACAGGAGAGACCGTTCTGGTAACGCAAAATTTTAACCCACGCAATTATTGATTGACCAAAATCATGAATTTAAAAATAAATGTTAATAAAAACGTTTGATTCATTTTGTCAACACAAATGGTTCGAATTTAAGTAGTTGGAAGCAACCATACGACAACCCTTTGAAATAGTCTAATAAATAAAATTGTACTACTCGAAAATGTTGGTTTTCGACTTGGTTGAAAAATATCTCTCTTCCTAACTCTTCTCTTGACCATATCTCTTGATATAATCAAAATAACCTTAATATAACGAATGTCGACGAAATGATTATAAACGCGTAAATAAAAGGTTTTTTTGCATGTTCTAATAAATTTTCCACCATCAACTGTATTTTTTCGTTTAATCTTTTCGTCATACTTTCTTTTAATGCGTTGACATTTTTTATGATTTACATATTTATACAAAAGATCAAAAAACGCGTTTTTTTACCAATCAATCTTCACTGGAATTTGAATTAACCAATCAATCGTTTAAGTACGTACAAAGAAAACAGGTGGGTTAAAATTTTGTGTTCCCAGAACGGTCTCTCCTGCTCACTTGCACATCCTCGATTACAAAACTTGTTTATTAATTGAATATTAATTTCGGATATTTTAATTTTGGCGGATGTCACGGGAATTCAAATTGGAGGATGAATTTTGGCGGAAAACTACTCAATTATGGAATAAATTATTTTAATTTATTAATTGAATATTAATTTCGGATATTTTAATTTTGGCGGATGTCACGGGAATTCAAATTGGAGCATGAGTTTTGGCGGAAAACTACACGATTATGGAATAAATGAAAAGATTTTATTAATTGAATATTAATTTCGGATATTTTGATTTTGGCGGATGTCACGGGAATTCAAATTGGAGGATGAATTTTGGCGGAAAACTACACGATTATATAAATATATAGAAATAAAAAGATTTGATTCGGAATTAGGGTATTTCGACCAACAAATCAACGTTAAATCCTAATTCCAATAACAACTGTATGCAATTTGAAAACCAAAAATTCGCTTTCATTTTTTTATAAATACTCTTACAGTTCTTACAGTAATCCTATACAATTTGAAAATCAGAAAAAGTGAAAACGACAAAAATTATCTGAATAAATCAAAATGAAATTCAATATTACTCTTCTCTTTTTGATTATCTTTGCTGTTGTGGCTTCAGCAAGCCCAATTCAAAACAATAATTTGGAGAAGCGAAGTACTTCATTTATTATTATATTTACTTTACAATAATTATCATTATATTCGATATCATTGTTTTTGAAAAAATACTGACTATTGGGTTTCATTTGATTTTAAATAATAAATAGTTCCGTAAGTATTTTTGTACTACTATTACAGTCAATATCATTAATTATTATTCTAAATGATAATTAGAGCGGTAAGTTACTATTATTATAGTCAATATCATTGTTTTTGAAAACATATTAACTTTGGTTTTCACTTTATTTAAATAATAAATAGCCTGTAAGTATTTTCATCATTCCACTATTATTACAGCCAATATCATTGTTTTTGAAAACATATTAACTGTTGATTTCATTTTATTTTAAATAATAAATAGCAAGTAAGTATTTTCATCATTTCACTATTATTACAGTCAATATCATTGTTTTGAAAACATATTAACTGTTGATTTTTGTTTATTTTAAATAATAAATAGCGTGTAAGTATTTTCATCATTTCACTATTATTACAGTCAATATCATTGTTTTTGAAAACATATTAACTATTGATTTTTGTTTTATTTTAAATAATAAATAGTGTGTAAGTATTTTCATCATTTCATTTATTATTACAGTCAAAATCATTGTTTTTGAAAACAAATTAACTATTGATTTTTGTTTTATTTTAAATAGTAAATAGAAAGTAAGTATTTTGATCATTTCACTATTATTACAAAGCGTTTCTCAGACAGTGCTATCACTTTGAGTATTCAAAAATTTTGATGTTTTGCGTGGTAAATTTACTTTTCTTTTCAACATATAGGTCTCAAAAAATCAAGATCATGATGAGTCATCATCATCTGATTCCAAACGAAATAAATGCCAAACTAGAAGTGGGAGAAAAATTCCAGATTATTATGAAGATTATAATAATTCTTTAGATGTTCAGGTATGTAACGAGCCAACCTTGATTCCTCTGTACAATGTCTGATTGGGAATGCTGTTGATATTTATGTCCTTTTTTTTGACAGAAACAGCCTCCAAAAAGGTAGCACTTTTTCAATTCATGTGATAATTTCTCCTTGGATCAAACTGGCTTAAGGACAAACCTATTATATTGTATAGATTAATATTGAAAAAACAAAATTTCTCGAGTTGAGTAGTCGCAACATATATCCACTTTGTAAGCCATTTAGAGAACTTTCCAAAGAAAATGCGGGAGGTTTATTTGACATAATAGCTGATAATACAGCGGTTGAATTTAATCTTCCCAAAAATATAAAAGAATATCTCAAAGACCTTCTTAGCGGTGATGTTAAAAACGCGTTTTCTAAGGTAGAAAAGTCACTCAATTATGATGCGAGTCCATTGTTATTATGGACTAGAGAAATTTTCTCCTTTATTACCATTATGGTGGCTTACAAGTGGATGGAGACGAGAAAACTCGGTCTACTCAAACAGTTTATCGTATACTCGATTTATTTTTAATTTTTTTTGGGAAGGAAATTTCTGGAATCACGTTGTAAGTATTGTGTAATAAATTTTTCCTCTATTTTATGTCATTTCTTACAATACACTTTTGGTTATATTGGCGAAATTCCGAATGAAGCACATAATGACAGAGCGTATAATATTAATTATATCCAAAAACCATCACAATATGGACACGCAAGCAGAAACGATGCCGTTTTATATCAAGACAAGGATGCGACGATTCTATATGAACAATCATATGGACCTATGGAATTTGTACCATCACACCAATTAGATGATTTCGTTAAACTTGTGTCATGCTCTGAAAATTATAATGCATTTAAGATAGAATATATAGACAAAGAACCTTTGACTATTAAGATTGGAAATTAGATGTTGTTATACTTTAATGTAATAAGCATATTCTTCATTTACCTCCTTTTTCTTTTGTTGCAATTACCAGATCAAAAATAAACTGCATATTTTTATTGATAAAGCCATATGTTTATTATTTTTCTTTCTTCTTGTTAAATTTCACAAATAATTTTCTCTTTCCCGAGTGTTAGCTAATTTAAAAATATAATAACAATGTGCTATTTTCTCATCTGTTTTTTAAAATACTTTTAATTGTGCTAAAATTCTTGGGTTCCATGATAAATTAATATTTTTATATAGTTGTAATCCTCAACACTTATCCATTATATATATCAATTGTTTTTACAATCTTTATATAGAATAATAAAAATGGATGAAAGACCTTTAATTTATTGCATTGCTTTGTTTTCCTGATGCAACAAGTTATATTAGGCCCAACACTATCTTCATTCTTATGTTTACTACAATATAGTGAGCCAACTTTCATTTCATTACTGTGAAATTCTGTGCAATATGATTATTGCTCAAATGTGAGATTAGTTTGTATAATATAAGTAGTAATGTGATTAGAGTGTTAGATTTAGTAGCTGCAGTAATTAATTTTTTGATGTTATAGATTTGTTCTGTCAAACTAATAAAAGAAAAAGTTTCATATATAAACTTGAATGAAACTTATAAAGCTTACAATTTTTTTGGTATTGAGTCTGCCAACAACTATTAATGGTCTTGTCCCAAATGATTCTTTCCTCTAAAAATACACAACAAATACGCAAACTATGTACAGGTTTTGTTGAATCAAACAATGACAAATTCCCAGTCATATATAGAAACCCTAATTGGAAGCTTTGATGTTTACTCCAATGGAAGGGGCACTATAAGTACATTAAAAATACCATCTTCAATAGATAGCTAGCTGGATTGATGTTTGAGAAAAGAAGAAATTTTCAAAATCAGAATCAGATACTAGCCACCAGAAATGTGAACTGTGAGAAACATCCAATCTGAAACAACTTGATTGTTAGAAGCTCTTATGGCAGCCACAAAATCCTGGATGAGTC